CCCCCTTATTTTTATACGTGAAACCCATGTATTCCTCCCGCGCAATTATAAAAAGCTCTGTTTTTTATTTTTATTATTATTCTTTTATTTTTACGTGAAACCATTAGCTATACTGATAAGACTTTCATCAAGATCTAATCTCAAGATTGAGCCGTCCTTGTCTTCCTATGCAGTTTGAAACTAAGTCAATATGTAACAGAGTTATATATGATTTTTTAGTCAAGTTCGAAATGTTTTCTGCAGTGTAAACCCTTAAAAACTATTAGTCAAAGAGCAATTGGTTGGTAGCGTTGTACCCATGTATTTTGTACTTTCAACGTTTCTGAGTTACATTTGTCATTAGGTAGTATATTATTCAAACAGTTACATGTTATTCACTTCCTTAACAAGTTAAAACGATATATATAATAATTTGAGAATTGAGTGGACAAATGAATGTAAACATTTTGGCGCGCTACTTTGCAGAGACGAAGGTTTACCACACAACACCGCCGTCAAACATCGGTACAGCGCTTTATCTAGGCACACATTCAAAGTATGAACACTTGTCCTGTTGGCCTCTCAATGTTCAAATTCTCTTTGGGATCTTAAAAAATCTTGAAATGCCCTCTGATTAATTCTCAAGAATCATGAATAAATGAGAACAGAGAAGAGAATTTTCATTTTGCATAGGTTCCTTACTGTAAAAACGGGTAGCTGTCTGAGCTTTAGGGAAAAAACCTGTCACCTAAAAATTTACCTGTAACTTCGACGTATTTTATCAAACAACTAAGTAGATCGGTGAATAAATATAATGAAAAGTTTTCCAAAGACCTAGCCAAAGTAAGCAACGTTCAAACGCAATATCATGTAATATTTTGATGTCTATACTTAGTACTGTGCCACGTGATCCAGCTTGCATATAGTAAATACTCTAATTTAAGCAATTTTACAGCACGTGAGTTATGAGTCTAGAGCGTTTGATCACTGAACAACACAGTTCACGGCTCTTCAACTGTGACATTGCCATGAGTAAGATTTTTGAATGCAGACCATTTCAGAACAGAACCATGAGGTATGCTACAACTTGTGTACTGGGCGGCAATGTCGCTTTCGGACAGAACTTTATCCCAAACGTTGACACCTGCCAATCGGCCGTGAAGAGTTTGCTTAGGGTCATAACCTCCGGCAACAGAGTCTTGCTCTTGTCCAAGCACCAGAGCGCCGCCAGATTTAACGATAGCGTTCTTGCTGTTAGTATTCGTTTTCTGTTCTATAACTTTGCCATCTCTATAGAGTTTTGCTACTCCTTGACTGTTTTCCCAGGTGAGACACAAGTGTTTCCAGGTATCATTGTAAAGATTTCTCGCCTCAAACCTGACAAAAAAAAAGGAAAAAAAGGAAAACAGATAAGCACAACAGTTTAAAATATATTTAATCATTCAGGATCCGCCTTCTTTTTTGTTTGTTACTAAGTCAGTAAATGAAGAGTCATTCAGTCTGTCAGGCAGTTAGTCAGTCCATAGCAATTTGTAAAAGGCCTGTCAGTCAGTCAGTCTGTCACCTAGTCAATCTGAGTGTCAGTCAGTCAGTCAGTCAGTCTGTCAGCCAGTCTGTTCTGTCTGCTCGTCAGTCCGTCATATCCTTTAGTCACTCTGTCACAGACAGTCAAGTTGTCAGCCAGTCAGTCTGGTTGTCAGCCAATAAGTCTGTCTGCCAGTTAGTCGGTCAGCTAGTCGTTTTTCAGTCAGACAGTTTGTCAATCAGCAAGATAGTTTGTCGCCCATTCAATCAGTCTGTCATGCAGCCAGTCAGCCTGTTAATCTGTCTGCTTGTATGTTTAAATTCCTTTCTTCTCCTTCAAGCGTCCGTGTCTAAAAAGAAGATCGTAGTATATCCTGTATTATGAGTTATCGTGGCTCCAATAAGAACTACCTCAACCCAGTTTTCAAAAATCCATGAAGCATTACCTGAATCTATTACCATCAACTACCAGATACAGGGTTGGATTAATTGCGACCAAAATGCTATTGTCTTCTTGTTGAATGGCATAGGTAATGACAAACTGATCCCCTTGGTCTGCAATAAGTTTGATAAAAAAACACACTGACAGCTGGCTGAGATCTGAGGCTATGGCTGGATTCTTCATGGCATAATTTTCTGTAGAACGCGGCTCCGGAAACACCATGAGGTACTCTACAACAGAGGAAATAAACCTTAGAAACTTCAAGACAATTGTTTAAGAAATTGCGTATTTTTTAAATATTTTTGCTTCTCTAGAATAATCCAGTTTTTGTTTAAATCTTCCTTCGCTTTTCGCAAGTGCCGCACGCCTATCGGGGACGATAGTCCAACAGTGTTCAGCCGTAAGCAACATAGAATAAGACACGCATAGGATAAGAATCTCGCCTTGTTGTCGACCTTCGGCTTAATCTAGGGCATAGTTTGCCCCTGCTTTCTTTGCAAGATAACTGGTTCACGCTTCGCCCTAATCAACTATTTAAGGCCATAATCTAAATATAAAGTAAAGAATAGGAAGAATCGTTGCATCGATGTCTTTGTTAGTGCGTTGGGTGACGAAGGAAATACGCAAAGTCATCACTCGCTTGTAAATAGAATCTCAAAAGATGGACGCATGTTTTAAGGTGACTAGTACCAGTTTTCATCTTTTTTATGGTTTGTAACTTTGAAAGAATACAAGAAAAAGACTGACCAAGGCCATTTGAACACTTTTACGG